CAGTCTCTTTCTGCCTCACTACATCCAGTCTCCCACCTGGAGAGTTGCACTATGTCATAGAAGTCAATTTTTCTTCAACAGAAACATTCTTCATATATTTCAGTGAATGGTGATTACATGTGTAAGCCTTTAGTATTGAGTTATTCCTAGCAAATTATTAATTACCCAAGGTTTATCTGTCTCTCTCACCATATCTCAGCATCATTTTAATTAGCTAGGCACAGCAATATCCAGAACTGCGTGTGGAGTAAGAATGGTTCCAAACCCTGACTTACTTTTCTGCCAGAACTTCCATGGTCTGTGGCTGTGCAAGGCTGAAGGAAGAGCAGGGGTCTATGGGCTTATCGGGGTAACAGCATGCTCCATTCCTCACACAGCTACAAGTCTGCCTTGCAGGCCTACCCCATGTAATGCAAAGGACCAGGCTATGGGAAGAAGGCTATGGGATTTCACCTGTGATTTAGCAGATCCCAAGAAAAAGCAACATTACTGCAGAAGGTAATGCAACTCAAACTGCTCAGCCTGGGGGTTCTAGCTATTTTTCAGAAAGGAAAACAGAAAAATGTTGGCTGGTCATCATTAAAAACCAACCAAAAGCAACAACTGTTTTTTTGTTGGTGGATTTTGGTTTTTTTTGTTTGCTTTTTTTTTGTATTTGTTTTTTTAGTTCCATTCTCCATGATCCATGACCATGTTTTATTTCAAATTAAACTGGAAGAAAAAGTTAATCTGCAATGAGTGAATTGTCCCACCTGATTTAGTCTTTTCATAGCGGAGACATTCTGTACCACTCATCATCTCTGCTGCTCTTCCCTGTACCTATTCCAGACTTACCATGTCCTACAGATGAGGGACATAAACTGCACAAAGTGTTGGTGATGCAGACTGTGAAAGAGGTGTTTACGGTGGAGGGGAGAATCAAGTTGTAAGCAGAAAAGGGACAGAGCTCCTTTGTAAAACAGATTCCTTTCCTGTTTCTGCTGCAAACACTTAATACAGCTCTGGTCTTACCACTTAGAGTAAGCTTTTCACAAGTGATCACTATTTTTACATTATACATTTTATGAATATCTAATGTGAGAACTGAAGCCAGATCCTCATCAGTGCTCAATTCTGACAAGTACCTCCTGATTGTGCTTTCCACACAGAGGGGGCTATAAACAGTGCTCTGAAAAAACAGTCCCTAGATGCCTCAAGGCAACACTCAAAATGGATAGCAACTGTTGTCAATTTTGGCTTTAATCTTTGTACATCAGTGCTAAGGAGAACACAGCTTTAAAATGCCCATTTGGGAAATAATAGTTCTTTATTCATTGCAGGCTCTGAACACCCTCCCAAGATGGCACAGGGCCACATCAACTGGGGATAACAAAGAATAATCACTCATTTGCTGAATGCAGCAGAGGGCCTGTAGAAAATTTAATAAGGAGCCTCATAAGGCTGTATTACAATGCTCTAGCTCAAAACTGTACAGGCAGTCTTAATATCCAGTCTGTCAGAGCCTGTCCTGGCAACTCATACCCTTTTTAGATGCAAAAAATTATATATGTTAAATATCAACAAATGAATGGTGGGCAGGACTTCTTTTGGAAATAGCCTGAAATACTTTGTTCCTTTTTCAGGCTGAGGGCACACAGCAATCATGATGCAGCCTCATGTTTGAAATCCTCTTGATGCCCAGGACCCAAAGCATGACCCACCAATTAACAGGAGCAGCCCAGCTCCTGCCAGCTGGGAATAAAACAGGTGCTGGGGAAAAAATACCTCTCTGTGCTTAGTAACTACCTGTGCTTCACTTTTTGCTTCATTTTGGTTTCAAAAAGACATTGAAACATACAAAGAAAGCATGGGGGAATTTTTTAAAACTACAGTTGATATCCTATCCGTGTTGAGTGAAAACCTGGCCCTGCTGAAGTCAGGAACATCCAACTGCCAAGATTTCACCTCTGCTTTTTACTTCTGTTTGGGCATGCAGGTTTATATCTGCCTGCTTTTCTCTCACCTAGGCCTTTGCTTGTTAAACTTGCTATTTTGCTTTTCTTCCAGTTTCTGGGAAGTTCTTTGAAATCCTGTGATGAAATCTGTTTCACTTATAGGATTCTTCCCTGAGGATAAAGACCAACAGCTTGATTTGTGACATCGCGAGCCCTTAGGTACCAGAAGTTTATCGCTTATTTTTTTGGTCTAACTTGCAGTCTGGCTGTGACAGGTAGAGGTATAGAATATATTCAGGCCATAGGAAAAAAGCTTTGTGGGTGAGTGTTTTCAAGCCCTCAGGTCTTTCTCTAAAATCTCAGATTGTCAACCATGCCATGGCTTGTGAGTGAGACAGATGCCCCAACCTTGAAAGTGATGCAGAAATTAACACAAAGAAAACAAAAGAATGTGTGCAAGTGACAAATAAGCTACCAACAAGTATCCAACCCCAAGAAAAATGTATACTAACTTACATCCCATTATGGAGATAAAATGAGATGTTCTGAATGCTAATTTTTCTCATCAGCATATCACTAAGTACAGAGGCAATGTTAGAAATTGTGACAACATTTGTGTCTAAGTCCCTACTTCTCTCACAGAGAGGTTTCTCTTAAAGGAAATGTAAATATAAAACATTCACTGCAATAAAAGTCTCCAGAGATAGAGTCTAAGTAGCATGATTAATATGGAAAATGCTTCATAAATCCTAACTTCAATAATCTCTGGTAGTATAAAGGATTCATTACGACTTTCTAACAGTGTCTTGTTAATTCTCACTTCACTTATCTGTGACCTTGAAAACTCCATCTCCTCATTTCAGCAAAGCATTGACAGCCAAGTGAAACAGCAAGGGTGATAGAATATATTCCAAAACACTCCCTAGTTTTATATAAAATACTGTCCATGCCTGACAAAATTAAACAAAATAACATCCCTTTCCTAAATTAACATCCAACATTTTTATGTTAGCATTTAAAAGCAAATATCATTATATCTCAATTAATTTACCACACAGAATCTTTTGCAAGGCTGCCGCCAGTAATTATAGGAATAAAAGGGTTCTGTGTTATGAGTATTTCTCCTGACATATCTCTGAGATGAAGCATCTCATTTTGGAACTAGTTCTTACTGGCTCTAAGCTCGTCAAACTGCTATGAACAATAAAAATCTTGAAGTGCATATTCACACAGATACACACACACATACATATACACAAGCACATTTACTCACACACAAGAAGTATGTGCATATACACATACATGTTAGTATAGACTTGTAGGCGTACATCTCCTGGTACCACTAATGTGGCTGCACAATTCTTTGAAGATTTGCACAAATATAACAGAGGGTAGTTTGGATGAGAAGGCAAAATGACAGAACATAAGAAATTCTGCCCAATTTTCTTCATCCTCGAGAGAGGCTTTGCCTCTACTGTGCCTGTTTGTATTTTGAAAAACATTAAAACAATAAAATCCTCTCTAAATGTAAATATTATGTTTAAAAATTGTTCTTTTTTTTCCAATACTTGGCAGACAGCAACTTATGTAATTTCTGACCAAAAAGGGACTACTGATCATAATTAGGTATTAAGATATGAGTTGTTAATCACTTCACTACCATAGCTATAAAATCCAGGGAATAAAAACATCTATTGCCCATTATGCAACAACCACTACTATCAAAGTTCTAATAAAACTACACTGTATTACTGGCTGTGAAATGCAGTAAAAATTTGATGCAAAATGGATGAGTGCAAATGACATCATCAAGTGTTTCACATTTAATTCTCTTTTACAATTTTACATCATCTCTGGTGATAGTAATGTTCCATTACTAGAAAGTATAGTTATGCTTCATCAGTCCACCCCACCAAAGGGACTCAAATCAAGACACGTTTCAAAACTCCTTTGTATCTCTCTCTGCAGGGTTTGCCAGTGAGCACACTGACAGAGAGGCCAGCGTGCCTGACTGCCTCTGAGATCTTACATGAGGGAGACAGAAGCTGAGCAGAGGGGCAGCTTAGAGGCACAGAAAGTCTTGGTGAAGCTGGCAGCAGTGGTTTGCCCTTTAAAACCACTGTGCATTAATGCACTGGCTTTCTGTACACCCCTCTCAGAGAAAACACTCCTCATATCCCCAGGTTGCTTCTATTAATCTCACAGGCACTCTCACATGGAGGAGCCACCATTACCTCTCCCCACCCCTCAGCAGTGGAGCTCTGTCAGTGGGATGTCCACAGGGAACAGAGCAAGGGCAGAAAGGTAAGAATTTATTTCAGATTTCAAAACACTGATGTGTTTGAGATAGTGGCTGGCACACCTGGGCTGTAAGAAACAATGACTCTAGGTTCAGAAGCACCGACGCTGCCCAGCCATCAGGAGGAACCACTTTATATGTTTAACAGCCCTGGCGTGGGGAATCCACTCTTTGTTAAAAAATCAAAGCAACAAAAACGTGTCATTTAAGTCCTACAGGGTGTAATTTTTTAGCTCCTGCCCACCTTATGCACTGAGACCACTAACAAGTATGCTAAACTGTGACATTGGATGTGCATTTCCTTTTCCCATTACTTTGATATTAATTTCTTTAAGATTATGAAAGAGCGGTATTGCTAGTTCTTTCCCTCCTCACACACAAGAACTCTGCCAAGTTCTGTGTGGCTTGTTAATGTGGAGCTCATTAATAAGCTTCTGTTATTCTAGCCACATTTTTTTTTCTTTAATAGTGCAGAAGAGCATGACATCTTCTGCCTTCCAAGATGGAATTTCTTGAGCACCCATCACTTTGTTACTACAATCCAAGTTACAAACCTTTGAAAGTCACAAAAGTCTCAGTATATTTTAAATATGTTTACTTCTCAGCCCATTAAAAAACCCTACATGCCAATATTTTGTTCCCCTAGAAGCTATGAATGTAATGTTAAACAGTCTGACAAAACTTTAACATATTCTAAAAGAATAAAAATGAAAAGGCAACCAAGCTTTATCTTCAAAATAAAAAAATAAGCTAGAAAATTAACATACCAACAGCCATCATGTAATCCCAGCGGTCTATGAGGCACATATTGAAGATCAAGTGGTCAGATGTTTGCCCTTGGCCAATGAGTGGAATGTTTCTCTCCAAATTTTGGGTTATTGCAGAAGTCCACCCAACAAGAAACCAAAAGACTATCAGCAGAATAACAGCCAGCATCCTCATCACTCGCCCACCTGTCATGTATGGAATACGCTGAGCAGTTCGGGACAGGAACACCTTCAAAACCCTGAAAAGTTCAGAGTGTAGAATTAGAAAGAGCACCATCTGTGTTGCAAGAATTGGACTTGCGTTTTATTTCACTATAAGATTATTGAAGAAAATTATCAATACTCTTTCTCCTGACAGTAAGTACAAAAGTGAAATTTGAAACTTTATTACTTTCATATTCATCGTATTTAAATGGAACTGATTGCTGCCCAGAGAGTGCTACAGAGCAATAATAGAGAATATTAGCTATGCTTATGTTAGAGACATGCATTCACATGCTGTGTTGTAAAGCTGTTGTGCACCTTCAAGCTCCCCATGGAACACTTCTGTCTTTGGAAAAAGGAAGGTCATTTCCATAAAATAGCATCCACATGTGAGAGATCGTATTTTGTTTTGATGCTGCCTGTCTGCTCATCCCCAGTCATACTATTTCCAGAGAAAACATTAGCACTTGTATATTTTTTCCAATTGAGCATGATGATTTTGAGACAATACTTTATTCCTTGTAGAAATAACTGTGGAAGTCACTTAACAAATTAAGTCCTTTCTGATTTGTTTAGAGGCAACAACATGTTTTTCAAGTTGGGGCAGAACCATCACAGGAAAAGCCACATCTTATGACAGATACAAACACCATGTACCAGCCATTGAACATGTAGCATTCACTTTAAAAATATTTGCACTTACTATTAGAATAGGTTTGTTCCCACCAAGAACTGTACAAGGAAGTACCATCTGCATTTTCTACCCATCACCACCTGCTAAAGCTGAGAAAGCGTCTGCTGGGAGCATGAGGGCAACCAGAAGTTGAGGAAATGGCTCAGGAAGAGGGAGTAGTTTGGCTTTTCACATTGCACAGAGCATCTCTTCATGTTGCCTGCAGCACAGGATCTGACAGAAGCATCTAACCTTTTCCTGGTGTCTTCACATGAGAAAAGGAGCCTGCAGGGGCTGCTGCTGCCTAACCCTGCCAAGTTACTAAAGCTGGGCAATGAGGAAAGGCTATCATGTACGTTTTCATGCATCCAAACATTTCAAAGTGGATGGGCTGAAGTTTAAAGGCTTTTCTAGAGATTGGGGTGAGGAGTCTTTCAAAGTGAAGAGGTGAGCTGTTTCAGTGATTTTGTCCTCAAAACCACAGTGGTTCCTCACTCCTGAGTATGAGCAAATCCAGTGAATACTCCCAGTAAACATGAAGGGACAAATTATCACTGAGGTTTAAGGAATTAGATTTTTTTCAGAAAGTTGACTTTTTAAATGCTCTTGTCAGCTGTCAAGTCTTCTCAATATACCAAGCACCAAGCCACCTCCCAAACCGTTCCATGGACAGGCCTGATTTTTCATAAAAAAAAAAAAAAAAAATCACACTCTGGATTAATATTTATGCTTATTATCTGGCTAAGAGAAGGCAGAAGCAACTGGCATTGCCTCTCAAACAAATAACAGAGCAGTGTCTCTTAAGACAGAAGCACAAAAGCTTTTCTACATCCATAAAAATGAATCATTGTTTGCTACAAACACAGCCTTCACAGTGTGCATTAGGTGAAGTCAGAGATCTGAATATGTTCAACATTATTCAGCTGTTTCCCTCCCAACAGTTACTCTGCAGGGAGTCAGAGTTTTTGATCTTTCCATGTCTGATAGATGTTCTGCTCTCCTTTTACAGATGCTAAGTGAAACGTTTAGGTTAGAAGGAGCTTCCCAGAGAATTCAGGCAGGATGGACAGACTCCACAGTGCAGAGGCAGGTGATTCCCTCTCTACACTGCTCAGCTGCACCACTACTACTCCAGGGCAGCATCCATAAATCTTCATTTTTAGAACTTTAAAAATCTCTAAGCAGAGGCTTTCCTCCTTCTTGTTGTAAATGCCAATAAATACTTAGCTTCCTTGAAGGGAAGGAAAAGGTAATCTTTTTGTAATTAATTGAACATCATCTTTTCACAGATAGAGATTGCCATTTGTGCCATCACACCTTTTTATGAAGCTTTAAGAATTGAAGAAACTCCTTTGTTATCTTCTCTAGAGTTTTAAAGTGATTTCCTATGGTGGAAAATTAATGTGATGCAAATTTATCAAATGTATGGCTGGAAAAGTAAGCTGTGAAGAGGAGTTAAAAAATGTATTTTATCTCAGTGCCTGGTAAAAACTACCATTGCTAAGAAAAGACACATGGATCATGAGTTAATGCTAAGCTACTCCATACCATAGTTTTCTAGGGTAGCTTTAATACAATATGTATAAAGGTAATTCTACAATGCTTCAATGAAAGTTCCCCTTCTGGGTCAACGTACAGGAGATAAACTGTGCTGCCATAATTCCAAAAGATTGACTGAGGAAAGTGGGAGGGAAATCGCAAGCTGTTCCATGGATACTTCTCCTTGTATTGAGAGGCAACAGGAGTCCAATCAGGATTGGCCCCGCAATCAGAACCACTCACTTGTTCCCATGTGAACAGCACTGGACTCTCAGTCTCATGCATATTTAATAACAGGGGAAGAGCCTGAAAATATCACTTGCTTTGATGAGAATGTATTGATTTGAAGTAGCTTTTGTCTGCTAATGTGTAGGTAAGCCTGGAATGAGCAAATGAAATTATTAGTTATTTCTTTGAATGTAGCCTAGATTCTGACAATTTTCATACTACACATATGCTGTATTTTCTCCTTTCACCTGCAAGTCTAAATTCCCACGTGAGGAAAGCTCAATTTCCTGGTGGACTATAGATCAAAAGCTTTCTCTGCCTGCAGCCAATTCCAAGGATGGTAGCTGGAGACTTTTGACAGATGAGCTGAGGTTTGCTCTTCCCCAGTGCCTCCTCACTGCCCAGCTCGCTGCCCTGCTGCCCGTGTCTGTTCCAGCTGCCTGCCAACTCCTGTTGCAGGAGACACTGAAACTGTGTGTGTTGCTCTTCAAAGGGCTATTGTTTATAACACCATATCATCCAGGTAGGTGTAATCAGAAATGGCTGTTCCTCGACTGGGTTTCTTCACCCTGAGTGTGTGCTGATTGGTGTACCAACCACTGAGGAGCTGAGAGGTAAGAGGGCTCAACAAAGGGTCCTGCCATGTCACGTAACTAGGTTTCAGTGATGCAGACCAAGTATCCTTATTTATGAAATCCTCATCTGCTTTGTGGTAATTATCTGTTCTCATAAACCACTTACTGCACTAATACCCCCATGAATCCTACTGAGATTAGCAGAACTACAGTGTCAGTGAAACATCTGACCCTCTGCTGTCAAACTCTGACCAGGCAAAGCTCTTACAGAGCACACTATGAATATGGAACCCATTAAATAAAAAGACCATCAACCTGTCCTCATAAAACAAGCAGTGACATGTCTCCTGTTAGACAACTAGTTAGGTTCAACGTTACATCACACAGTTGCTTCAGTGGCACCAAAATTGAGAGCTCACAATCACAGAAACCTGTGTGAGATTATAAAATTCTGATAGGGATTTTGGATCCTTGGGATAGGCACAATGCCATCTCTTTATGAGTCTGCTACCAAATGGTTAACATAGCCATTTCAGTAATTTCCTCCTGATAGGTATGTTTAAATGACTGCATCCCTCACTCAGTAAAAATGAGGTCAGCTCCTCAGACATTTTTCTTCATAAGCAAACCAATCTTGTTGAGCTCTTCATTCAAATTTGAAGTGGCTTTGTGGCAATAACCTTAATTCATAGACCCTTAAAACTCCTGCTGCTAGTAGTTTAGAGTGAACATTATAAGCCCTTCCCCACACCAGCTTTGGCTAAGCTAATTATTCGCTTCTTAAAAATCATCAGGTGATTATTATCTTTTTGTAAATCTAAAGCCATTCAGTTATACAGCTTATTAAAGCCTTTCAGAACAGGCAGCACAAAAGATCTAAAGGTCACTATTTATCAGGAAGCTTATACTGTGAAAATAGATGCAAAAACTGCCTCCTGGTAATACTTTCCTACAACAGGTCTAGAACATTTTTAACATTTTCATTACATAATTTGCTTCACAGAGTTCTGTGGAGTTGAACATACAAAAGCTAACTCCTGATTCCAGCTCACAATGTTTCATTTCACAAAGGCTGATGAGTAAAACCAGCGGGGACAATACAAATTCCCCTTCTTGTTAGTCCTACTCCATATGGGTACTCTCTCCTGCT